TGAAATAGCCGGATGATGAGTAATAATAATAATACCTATAAGTACTTAAACAGTATGAGTATTATTCATTTGAGGAAGATATATTTTAGAAAGCTGTATAATAATGTATCCATATAATACAGGTTAATAGTAGTTTTCGTCGGATACAAGTACATCCGCTTGAATTTCGTTTTTGACGCTGCATAATAATTATGCGCAGTTTATATAGATAACCAATAACTACCCTCACGAGTATTGCACATTGCACAATTATAGAGGCTTCCCACTTGAATTTAGCGCTTTCAAATACCTAATTACGCGAAATTTGATATAAATATACAGCCAATAATACAAATAGGTATAGCTAGACGAGGTCAGAACTCGGGAAAAGCAGACCATCTGGATCCGAGTGGGTATAACTTGATTGAACGGCGCCCTCCCTCCTGCCGACATTTCATACCGGGTGGGTGTTTAATATAAAGTATACTTACCCGAGTCAAGCTTATAGGATATATATATTTATATACCAAGCGATAAACGCCTTGCTCTGGATTATGTCGCAACGACTCTATAGTGTAATAGTACCAACGCTGGGGAAATGAGTATTTGTCTCGCGGATACCTACAGGTACACTAAAATCACGTAGATAAAGGTCTAAAAGCCGCTGAGAATAAATAACAATAAATCGGTACCTACAACTCGTATGTACACCTGCCACCAATACATGTTATCCCCCAGGTATATGCAACTTTTCCTTTTTCTTCATATTATATATCACGAGTGGTGAGTAGGTATTTGCACCGTTATATGTATAACTATTAAATGAAAACATTAATTGTACCTATTTTGTCCTTTTCCGGCGCTCAATAACTTCCTCGAAACAATTTTCAATGCTCCAATAACGTATTTAATAGTTATTACGTAAGGTAGGGTATATAAACACCTAGGAAGCTCTGGCTCTACCCAATGATCGATATTTTTCGCTCACGAATCATAAAAAATAATAACAAGTACTCGTTACCGCGAAGTAGTAAACGTAAATATAAGGCAAAATTGACGATATTGTGTATGATGATGTATCAGCGTTATACGTATACACTTGCTTCTGCATGTAAACGTAGGTGGGTCTTTTAATTAATTTGCGTGGCAAATATGAATGAGTAATTATTATTATATGAATAGTATCTCATGCCCAGCATTGGTAGTACACCTATACATTGTGAGCTTGGGGTTCGCTAGCCGTTCGGCTTTTGTTGTTTTTATATAAAGTATAATATATATAATATTATATAGTATAGGTACGAGAAAAGTGTCGAATAACGATGGCGAAACGAAAAAAAGAAACCAAATCAGCCGAAGCGCCCAGCGGGAGCGGAAAAACGAGAGCAGCTGCATGCAACATACAGGGCGAGGCCGATGCAGCGCGCGATGATAGAGATAGCGGCTATATACGGAAGAAAGAGAGATTGGTCAAGCCTCGGGCCCATCGGTGCCTATAATATATATCCGCGCTCCACTTTCCGCTCGCTCCCATATCTCTGATTATTTGATGATACGTACGTATACTCACGTGTACAAGTATGCTATTCGGTACCGATTTGCTCGAGTTACGCGCGCAAATGAGCGAGCGATAAAAGTATACGTATACTATAACTCATTGTTCTCGGTATACCTACAGAGTGCCGATATGACATAATATTGAGTTAAGTGTATGTCGTCGCCACTTGAGTCAAGTATACGCACGCCTGACTTCCTTCCTTTATCGTTCAACCACCAGTAGAAAATAATAAATACATAATATATTATATGAATCGTACCTGTCGTGCCCTCTAACTTATTTATGTTTTTTACGTTGAAATTTATTTACATTTTCCGACCTCGGGCGTTTTTGAGGGTCGGGTGTGCCCTTGGTAGGAAAAATAGGATTCGCCACATAAGTGTCATCGCTCCGCAAAATAGTCCCAGAGACGATGGAACTTATCCGACGAAAACTACTATTAGTTATTGATCCCTTGGACCAATTTTGTCATCCAAAGTTCGCAATCTTATTGTATGTGTGCTTTTCCTCCGAAAATTTTGTAAGATATTTTTCGTCGGTAATTAAGTGCGCGATGCAATATATTTTTCGTCACGGAATTCAAAGTAAATTAGGTAATGTTGTCAAGTATTTTCGATACTTTTTTTTTTTTTTTTTTTTTTTTCGTTGCCATGCATTTTTCTCCATTTATTTATCCAAAGAATGAATGTTGACAAATAACAAAAAAACAGACTTACTCTTTTGATATTAATGTCAAATAATTATAGACATGTCTATTAATTTTATTAATACAAATAATCTTCAGTAATTTTCATTTATTAGTCTTGTAAAGTAACCTCTCCGGCTTATTTCTCAAGCACTCTGACCGCACATGATACAAACAAGTTATTTTTATCGTGTTCTACACCTGTTAGTAGACCTACTTTTTTTTCGTCGTACATCCCTATCATGGCCCCATCTAATTGTCAAGAGCACAAGATAGAGAAAAAAAAAAAAAGTACAAACCTACCTATTCTAATGCTTGTAACTTTCTATTAACATGAGATGTTTGAAATTAGATGGATCTTAGGACTCTTTCACTCTCTCCCGCGCTTGTATCTGAATGTCTAGGTAGTGCGTAAGGAAGTAACGCGTCGTGAATTTAAAGCAAAAGGAGTAAAGTAAAATAAATGAGAAGCGCCGTTTGAGGAAGCAATCAGAGAGTGAGACAGCGTGTGTACATGTGTATAACAATAAAGTAGAAGGTACGTGCGAGAGAGTCATTTTTCAGCGTCCCCGCGCGAAACGTAGCGTGAAACGCCAATGCGTGACGTTGTTGCTCGAGTAACGTAACGAGTGTCCCTTGCTCTTGTTTTTCTCGTATCAAATGGAAGATAAAGGGAAAAAAAAAAAAAAGCAGTTTTTAAAACTCAGCTTCGCTACTTCCCTAAAAGGCTTTCGATTATTCGCTGTATAGGCGTAAGATCATGTTGTGTACTTACTTTACAAGTACGGGACAGCCCTCAATAAATTACGGTCGAATCAATCAAAACATCACTTGTCTTAGTACCTATATATAGTATTTTAAAATAAATAAACATACCGGCCAATAGTTGGCTCAGCGAGAGTGAAATCAATCCTCGCGCGCTTTTGTTGGTAGATATTTACTCGCATGTGTACAATTATTATTCATTTATGAATTATGTTTTTAATATATCGGTGGGTCCGCTAAAAGCTATACGTGTAGGTATGTATAATGTATTGATTATACCTCATGTTGCAATGTATACCTATATACTATTTCACTCTCGTTTTCAGTAGCGCTTAAAGTCTCGCGAACCAAAAACAATCACCTACTTGTATATAAATAGCATTTCATTCGAAATTTCAACAGCACCCGCGTAAATTATTTAATTGAATGGGCATTGAAATCGGCGGACGCTCTCACCGCGCGCGCACTTATACCTGCAGGGTACACCTCGATTGTATGGGTATATTATGTACCTATGTGGGTACCTGTACCTATATGTATACCTCCTGCACAGAGGGAATTTGTCGTTACACAGGTGGTACCTACCCTATGTATAAATATATTAAGTATTGTACACCGTGTAATGCAGGATTGCTCATTTGGATTATTTAATGGAATTTCCGTGTCCATTATTCATTAGACCGGCCATCGGACTTGCTGCTGCAGCTTATACATGCTCGTAAATAGAGTTCGGTTCAAGCCCGAGCGGATGATGGGGCACAATGCTCGCGGACCATTTGCATATTCGTATATCGTTAATGTACCACAAAAAACAAAGAGTACACGCTTTTCGGTGCGGCAACGTTTCAGTGAATTGTGCCGCGTTTATGGATAATAAGTATATTTCAACCATTAGCTGGTATACCCATACACATACCATGTACAGGTACAACATCAGGCACAATCGGGCACCACTCATTCTCGCGTTTCTCTTTATTTTTACCTTACTTTACGTTACTCGCCATTTTCGCACGTGCATTGCCCCGTGAATTTATTTCTGTAGCGACAGCGATTGAGCGTTGCTCAACACGGCATACCTGATTGTATTATATCCATACGTAGAGATCTCCTCTACTCTGTGTTTACATTATATATATACGTACCCATCTCGAAACAATCCGAGGAAACTTGCTGCATATTTTTCCCCCCGGCTCTCGCGTTTGAATTCTAATTAAAAAATTCCGCGTGCCTTTTTTATTTGCCGGAGCCAAAGCTTCCCGCCGGAGTCTTGTGCTTCGAGTTTCGCAAGAATGTTCGGCAAAGTTTTTTTCACTGGCTCAACGGCGGATGCTTTTGCGGGAAATAAGAAACCATAATTACGCGCAAGTCTTTCGGCTCGTAAGTAATAAAAAAAAGGGGGGAGAAAAAAATGTTCGGGGTGTATAATAGGCTGTACTCACCTGCAGCGTAGGAGGTGTACACGAGAGCCAACGGGTGTTAAAAAACTGACAAAGACCTTACAGGTAATCCATGAAAGAGCATCATTTGTATAATAGTTTATATATCAGCGAGTGAGTATATAGATGTATTATGCGGTGGCCGAGTCGGTTACGTATATGACAGACGGCGCGGTTGCCGTGATTTTCGTGACAAGGCCTCCGGAGAAGGATATATCGTGTGGGTGCAGAGAGAGAGAGAGAGAGATAATATAGAATCGAGATTTTTATCGTCAGCGTCGGACCTCTCGGCAAGTCCCATCGATCCCATCCTCCGTTAACATTTGATCACCGGTGCGCAACGTGAATTACTCATCGTTAGAACTGTACGAAGCGAACAATGAAACGTACATACCTATAGTAGACACGGTCCGAGATAAGATTTTTATTTGTTGGAGTCGGTGTTTGAATTTTTTTTTTTCCCCCCTTTCCCTTTCCCCCATGTAACGCTAATTGTACAGGGACGATTCGACGGAAATGGTGCGAAAACCGGATGTCAAAGTGCCGAGTATGCATGATAACGATAACAACAACTCACCTGAAGTTGTTACGATTGAAAAACTATATGAGGTGTACAACAGTGCAACTGGTCCTCTGTCCCTCTCGCAAGCTCGACGTAAAGCCCCCTGGCGTCCTTCCTGGCTCATCAACTCGAGACGCGACCGAAGGCCATGTATACCAATATACCAACTGCAATCCCGGATCGATGCACCAAAAAGAGCTACAATTTTCTTCTTCTTCTTTCTTATTACTGCGAGTGGTGCAGTACAGCTTGCAATTAAAGTAATTAAAATCAACAAAAAAAAAACTTACCAATGAGTGATCAGTTTCTTTTTTTTTTCAGCTGATAGTATTGCATCTCAAAAATCATCTAATGATGCCATGGAACTTCACCAAAAATATTGAGTACACTTGGTGGCAACTCATTTGAAAAATTTTGAAAGTTCAACTCTTCTACGAGTTCAATCTCACTGGTTGAGTAAAGTGCTCGCATTCTCACCATTGAAACGTTTATGTTTAACTGGCTAGTTCAGAGTATAATTTCCTAATGCTGGGCATCAAAGAGCTACTGAGCTTTTCTTAACCTTAGAGCCACTACTCCAATATAACAAAAAAAGAGCAGCGTTAGAAAAGGATGTAAGTGCAATAAGAAAACAGTAGAGTTAGAAAAAGATACAAGTGCTATCGCCCTTATCCAAATATGTGCAAAGCATGCAGAACTTTGTTCCATACCTATGGTATGCGCATCAACCCTTTCCCTTCATCTCATGCACATAGATAATTTTCTGTATGTGTGAATTTTTTCTTCTACTATAGGTTTTTCAAAATTTTCCAATAGCCAATCAGAAATAACACACGCCCCCTCCCTCCACCTACACTTTTGCACGCACTTTCCAAAGGATTTAAGGGTTACTCTAGATCTTCATTTCAAGTCATGACTAGTGCATCACGCAAGTTGCCAACAACTTTCGGCAGTATTTATACGACCAGAAATCATATCAGTCATCACGCTTGAACAAACAAGGTACGTTCATTTTTATAATTTCTTTAGATTTGCTTTTTGTCACTCTCATCTTTTTAAAACTTTTTTCATAGCTTATCTCTTACTTTGGCTGCAGAAATGATAGTGAAAGTTCTATTTTAAGTCACTCCGCAGCAATGATGTTGAGAGTTCTTTAAATTTTCTATCTTTTTTATGGAAAAACTACTTTACCGCAGAAATGATGGTAAAGATTTTTTCTAACTCTCTCTCCACAGAAGCGATGTTGAGAGGCATTTTAAATTTTTTACTTATGATTTAAAAAATTTCACTAAAAATAATTTATTTTTTTGAGGCACAAGGTTTTTTTACAGCACATAAAATGGTGAAATTTATAGCAACGGGTGACATTCGAAGATACAACGAATGTCTTTTTCGCCGTGCTTTAAACAACCACGCATTACAATATGAAGAAGAAGAAGAAGAAGAAGAAGAAGAAGANAATATTATTTTCAATTAACTTATATTTTTTTACTCATAAGAAAATATTTAACGGAATGAGGGTAAAGAAATTTTCTTTGATTCGAAGAATTGGGTTGCTCAGTGAGGTATGAAAGTTGGCTCGCCGCACTTCATGATTTAGGCTGTTGTGAAAAAAACTGTAATACTTACTAAAAACCTGGAAAATCAGGAAAAATTAACTCCATGTACTGTACATAAATATATTGAGACAAAAAAAAATGTGCTGTGAACTGTGAAATGTAAACTGCCGCATGCGCTGGATACTTTTAATTTTTCCTGTTCTCTAATGTTTCTATCAGTGGTTTATAAAAATTGTAACTTACAAAATAATTCGTTGCTTGATCCTTTTTTCAATTAAATAAAATATCTGTTCGGCAATGCAATAAGTGACAAATTGACAAGTCTCAATACTTCCAATATCTGATATTACTAAGAAAAAAAAAAAAAATTATTTTTAACACAGTAAAAAGTAACAGATGAGTTGTAGTCAGTATAATGATCAGCAAAAGAGTTCAATCAATGTAGGTGATAATGTAAACTATTCAAAGGGCATTGTGATGTCGTGCAGCGTAAACTGACCTGCTTCAAGCTTTGGATTTCAAAATATTGAAATCTTAGCGGGGTAAAATTTTAATCTCAAGTGAAATGAACATATAGTATTAAGTTAATGTATAACGCATATTTTAGTCAATAACAAGTTTAGTATACACATTATCAATAGTTATAGATAAACAACAGGGTTTGGTCAGTAATGAAAAATTATTTCATTCCCTACCTTGGCCGAAAGGGGTACTCCTGCTTACATAAAGCAAATAAAAAAGCACCGTTTCCGGCCGAGTTAGTTAAGTAAAAAAATAATAATAATAGCGTACGTACCATTACAATGGCAAGGTTAAAAACCTCAGATTTCGAGTTGGTCACTTTCGCCTTCAACTCCGCAGATAATATATACATGCGTCCTGAGATTTTCTTTTCATTTTGTTTCCTAAGTGTACGAATATATAGGTGATGATAATTTAAAATTAGCCTTATATAATATCTACTTATACCTTGAACGAAAAACTACAATTATTGTTTTTGACAAAATTTCTTTCACAAATTTTTGAAATAATAAAAATATACTCCTTCTTTGTACAAACAATGTAATCATTACACCACAATTTATTGAGTAAATTTAAGTGACAATCAAAAGGGGGAGAACCTTCCGGCTTACCAAGTTTGAGAAATACAAGGCAGTGCCATCGACAAATTGCAGAATATATAGTTTCACTTTGTGGCACATCGTGTAAGTACACTTTGATTGACAATGCACGATGAACACGCAGGAATCGTTCAATATCAGTTGTATATTATAATTTCGAGCAGCGAAGAAAAAGGGCAGAGGCGAAGCAAACCTGCACGGCTAGAAATTAATTGTTCGTTTGCTCGCTCATTCTGTACACGGCCACAATGACGAAATTAAAAAAAAAAAAAAAAAAGGCCAGAGAAAGAGCTTAGTAGAGGTATACCCCCGCGTAACGTGGCCCCTTGAAAAGAGCATTAAAACGTGAAAAAGACAGGAGAATGGGTACACCTTTCTTTCTTTCTTTTTTTTTTATCGCGATAATCGTCGCATGATAAAAAAAAAAAAAAAGGCCAGACAGGGAAAATAAATAATACAACACCAGGTAGGTACGTGTAAACGACAATCGCTGCAATTTCTCTCTACTTCTCACATGGGTATAAGAGTCAATTTTAATTTCTCTTCCTTTGTGCTGGGGTCGACTATCCGCATGTACACGTAAAAGTATACTGCAGAGACTCAAATCCTTTCTTTCGCCCTCCATCCCCGCCTCTCCAAGCTATCGAGGTATATCTTGGTACACCATACACACGTACAGAGTGGAGTAGAGTTCCGGAAACTTTTGCGATAGCCCGTTGGTACTTTTACAGCGTAGAATAAATTGAAAATTCCCGCTGTGGACCGGTGATTGTATAGGTATAGAGAGGAGACAGATCTTTGTTGTGTATGCTCAAACAACAGCCCAGAAGCGGCAATGCTTTAATCCATCCCGCAAGATAATTAGTCTCTCTTTCTCGACGTGGTGACTTGCGTAACATTCCATTGCTTTTGAACTTGTCCTTTTTTTTCCTCTCCATTTACCTATACGTATATACCTCATGACTCGTCTCTTTGAAGCAAAACCCAGCCACTGTCACGCTCTTGCTTCTTTTATAATTGATTTTTTTTTTTTTTTTTTTCCCTTCCCCAAGGCAGTTTTAATTATATTTGCATCCAAGAAATCTTTATCGTTAGACTCTTATTACGAAATGTGAGGTACTTTCGATTACCAACGTATACCTGCTGTGTCCTTACAAGGAGGGCGTCATACACATACATTCCCTGTACATACGTATTGCATCCTTGGGTCGGGTATGTTTCCCGACTCGCGGCTCCTTAGATTTATCTTTTAGGGTATGCTTGTACTTATCCTCTACAGAAGTGAAACGAGCTTTTGTCGGTGAGCGCGCGCGGTTCAAAGTTGTACAGCTATATCGCGTGGATCTTGTTTAGGCGAAACTAATTCAGCCCAATTTGGCAAGTCGAGAGATTTTGGATTTCGAGGTGTTTCCCCCCCCCCCTCCCCCGATTCTCTGTCTACATTCCATGTATAACGTGTAGCGAAGGCGAGAATTGCCGAACCAGTTTTTAGAGACCGTTTGAGCAATCGACGATGACTTTTTCGAGTGCATGTGTTGTGGCACGAGTAGTTACTGGTGTGCCTTACCACACGTATTTTCGACATGCAGAGTTAAAAAATTGCAACTACGCAAAAACCGCATTTTTTTTTTTTAGCATAATAATATTAGCCATATAATAGGTAAAAGGTTCGGTCTCACAGGGTAACACGGTGAAAAAAAATTCCAAGATAATGAGTCACTTATTACGGTGACACGCGTTTTTAAAATAAAGTTAATCTGACTCTGATTGATTTTAACCACTGCATGTGAATATACTTAATAATTATGTATACGTACACAATACATAAGGAATAAACCGGGCCCTGAGCCGCCCCCCACTTTTCTTACAAACTAGTCTGTCGAACGGAAACAATAATAATTTTCCTCAATCAATTTTTGTAATCCACTCCAAAGACAAAATGTAAAGGTAAAAGGTATACGTGTTCAATAAAGTACTTTTCTTTGGCCTCCTCCTTTCCGACAGGATTTCCGGCTTCGAAGTTTTCTTTCATATACCTACGATGAGCCTCCACACCCTCGCAAAACTCCGTCCCATGCCGTACGCATACACAAACAACAACAATAATAATAATATTATTGTATAATACGCAGGCAGGCATCGGCTTTGAAATTCAACGGGCGTACTATACTTGCTGACTTTCTCGCCACACATCATTTTTGTAGGTGAATAATATATATACTTACTTATAATAGGTACGCGCGTTTGCTCCTTTTGAGAGAATCGAGACATTAAGTACAAGTATACCCACACTTACCCGGGATGAAAAGGGCTGCCCGCCCCACTAAACGTCGTTTTGCATTTAAATATAATTATAAAATATGATATAACGAAGGGAGTAAGCGTGTGAGTCGGTGCTTATCACCAGAGAGGGTTTCTCTCGTTTTTGTCAAAGTCGGCCCGCCTCTCCTCTTTCGTCCCGTATACTTGTACCCTTTTCTCAACATTTTTTTTATTTATTTATTTTTTTTTTTTCATTTACATAATTATATTATATACTTATAAACGCCCTCGTTCGTCTTGTTAAATTAATGGC